AGCAGAAAATAAACTTGAGAAGGACAGAAGCATCTTGCCTGAAATGATTGGGAAGCTTCCATTCACTGTTTAATGGGGATCCTCATGTCTTAGGACTGCCCCCCCAACTTTGATGATTCCTAGGCAGAGTGAGTTAAGCCAGGTTATTCAGTCAATTGTTCATGGTTGTTGTTGTATCACTTCATGCACAAACCCCACGGACAGCAACCACAAGAGTGTTTGTCTTTAATGAGAGCCATTAGAGGTGAAAAGAAAGAAGTCACTGTCTCCAACTTGACTATAGACTTGAAGCACTGGAAGGGACTCACAAGAGCAGCATTTGTTTGAATTGGGTTGACTTTCCCAATGACAAGGACTGTGTAGTTTTGTAGAACCTGGTAACAGTAGATACCGTTTAAACTTTGTTTTCCATAGAGGCTCTTTAGTACAGAGAAAATTCTCCACTAGGTCAGAGCACTCCTCCAATCTTCAGCCCCTCTCGCCTCCCAGCACTTCCTCAGATACCTCCTCGTTGACCTACAAGCAAGCACTTCCCATACCCCTCTCCACCCAAATGAAGACCTGTTTCAAATTTTAATATATGAAACCAAGGGATTTAAGAACTGATGGACAACTCAAAAAGCACAGTCAACTAAATTCCCTCTTTGAAAATATAAGCCTAGAAAAAAATTTGAAAAGGATCTGCCTCACTGTCAGACAGTTACTAAGGAACCAGAAGTCATATCACTGTCTCCATAGGTACCAGTCTAGTCACTCAACACTAGTATAGAATTATACCACAGGCATGCATTTGCAGGTGAGGCAGAGGAGGTAGGAAAAAGATTCAGTGTAGGTACAAAGATCTTTCTGAAGTATGGGACACTTACTCTTCTTCAGGACTTGCCGGCACTGCGAGGTGACAGTTGGAACACTGGACTTGGACAGGGCACTTGAGAGGACTTCAATAATGCAGTGAGTCACCTATGAGAAAACACAAAAGTAGATTGGAAAGCTGGTGTCACTAGAACACAATTCAATCAGGAGTTCCTGTCACACTAGACTTGAGCATGTGCCTGGAACTAATGCAGGACCCTCAGGGCCGGGACTGGAGGGACCATGAGGAAGCCTCCCAGAGTACTACACTGCAAAAGGGAAGAAGACATTGAGAAATAAAGACCCACTTCTAATGCTTAGAGAGAAACTGCCTGTGTCCTTGAAAGAACTAACCCCCCTGGGAAGGATGTGTGTGCTTACTACAGGAGGGGCATTGCTTGTCCTGGTCTCTAAGGGACAAAACTTTGGCTTTGCAAGACAACATGGGGGAGGGAACTGTCAAAGGGAGTGAGACAGTCTAGGTTGTACGTACAAGTCTAGACTCTAGACCAGCATCTCAACTTACCATTTCCTCATTGGGATTTCTGTTATCCACTGGAGCTGAGCCGACAGCTTTGAAAGAGAAAAATGGGAAATTTCTTGAGTTGATTTCTTAGAGGCTAGATGAACCAAACTTGCAAAATGGTCCTGCCTTCATTGAGGGGGTGCAGAATGAATACTTAGCAGAACCCACATTGGGATGATGTCAATGACCATCATTTCCTAGTTGCCTGTACACATGTGTGCATATGTACAGACTTGTGTGAGTACACAAACATAAACAGCTGATTCCTCCAGCAATGCCTTAAACATTTGGAAAGGAATGCTGCCTTACAGCCTATATAAATAAAACACAAACCACAAATGAAGGGGCATCTTAAGTTTTCACAATTTACCATGTCTTGTGCCGGTTATACAGTTGTCCTATATGTGTGAAAATTTTTTAAAGCTGTAAACTCACTCTGTGAAGTTTCTACATCCCATGCTACAATAGTTTTTTAATTAAAATAGAATCAGGTACCCTCCACAATACATTCCCTCTGTCCACATCAATCTATGGCTTTTTCTGTTCCCAAGAAAATCTCCTCCTCTCAACTCACTTTATAAAAACACAGCTAGTAAAGGCTTGGCATGCTGTTGCATACCTTTAATCACAGCACTCAAAAGGAAGAGGCAGAAGGATCTCTGTGAGGGAATTTGAGGTCAGCATGGTCTACATAACTTCTAGGACTGCATAGAAAGACACTTTTCTCAAAAAAGGAAGGAAGGAAGGAAGGAAGAAAAACCCTAAACTAACAAAAAATCTCAAAGACAACAACCAAAACATGGATATTAGACCCTTACTCACTCAAGACCTTTGCTTAAACAGTTTGCTTCTACATCTGTTTCAATATTATGTCTCCATGCATTGTATACAATTGTGTAAACACCACTAGAAGTATCAAGTTATCTGGTCCACTATTATCTAGCTTATCAGTGTCATTAAAAAGTGCCTAACAAGTTTGAAGAAAGACCCTAAGTTCTTCCTCAAATACAGGCTAGATAAGACCTGGCTGACCAACTTTGGGCACTCAGGGTCATATGCCTGGCTTTGGGGATTCTGTTATTTTTCCCTTTTCTTTAGTGCTGAAGATTGAGGCCAGGTCCTCACATATGACAGAAAATCACTGTCCTCAACTGAGCTGCAGCCCCAGCCTTGGGCCAGTCTTTTATGCTCCAGACAACTGCACTTTTCTCTTTTCACCTGAAATCTGTGAAATTCTCTGGAAAGTAACTATGGAAGAATTAGTCCCCAGATGACAAAGAAGTCACCCTTTCCAAATTCAGCTTTCCAAACCTTGTGTAGCAGTGCAGCTCCACATGTATAGTTCTGTCTGTTGTCTCTCCCAATGTAAAGTGAGTACTTTAACTACCCATACAGCCAAAGTACTAACCCTTATCAGATGTGGTGGTCAAGGGATGCCCCATTGTCCCAAACAATTAGCAATTTACAACTTACTAGTATAGAACATCCCTGTTTCCCTGAGGAAGGCTTCTCAAACTTTTAATAGAAAGGAATTAGAATTTTCTATGAATACACATTGTGTACTTGGTGAGACTGCTAAGTGGCACATAGTTTTTCCAATAGAATCTGTGATAGCAAAGTAATAACTAAAGATATATTTAATCTCCTAAACTCTTTTGACTTATTTTTGTAGCAAATAAGAAATAAACACTTATAGAAAGTGAAATAATTAAATGGTAAAAAATGATCAAATAATAAATCTTGGAATAACTTCTGAAGTATCAGCATCCATAAGGCTATTAGGACTATTAAAGTTTAATCCCAAGTGGAAATTACAGCTGCAAAAATAGGTTAAACAGGGCCGGGTGGTGGTGGTGCATGCCTTTAATCCCAGCACTCGGGAGGTAGAGGCAGGCAGATCTCTATGAGTTTGAGGCCGGGCTGGACTGACAGGCTCCAAAACAATACAGAGAAATCCTGTCTCATAAAAACCAAAAAAAAAAAAATAGGTTAAACATGTTCTGCTAGTAAATCATGGGCACTCCCAAATTCCACTAAAGTTGTCACTCAAACAAGATCTGCATAGTTAAAAAATCCTTCTTCATATGATATGGATATCCTACATTCATATTAATATTTAAAGTGTCACAGACAGTCGTGGATCTCCTTTTATAAACTCTTAATGGCAGAAAATGAACTAGATGACTTTCTGAAGGCTTGTTACCAACTACAATTTTACTAAGTAAGAAACTACTTGAAGTCTCTCATTGCCAGATTTGGGGAGGAGGAAATGGGGAGGTGATTGCTATGATACCGGGTGTCTTTCTGGGGGTGATGAGCATGTTCTAAAATTTGATAGTGGAGATGGTTACAGTCTGTGACTAGCTTATACACCAGGGAGTTAGACACTTCTAAGAGGTAGGCAGCATAATGTGTGAATTATAGTCTAAAATATGAGAGGGTATCATAGCTCCATTTTAGTTACTATTAAATATGAGCTTTTATTCCTTCATGGGAGGTATAAAAATGTTTAACCACCACAGTTAGGTGAGTTACAAAAACATTACTGAGGTATCACTGTGACCTCTTCAGCAATGCCTTTCTGAAATATTTTGGACTTGAAGAACTCTAAATGATTCAGTTTGTTTTCTTTAATAAATTGAGAACATGTATTAGTTACTCATAAGAATGATTTTTAAAAATTGAGAATATTGTGAACGCAATAAAATATATTACTTTTGGCTTTCATTTTGTCAAACAGAGTGATTCCTGTCCATCAAAGTTTATATTTTATGGAGTCAAGTCTAGTTAGGGATCTCAGTCTCAGAACAAAACACTTCTTTGCTGCCATTCAGAGAAAGCTGCTAGCTTAATTTGGTGTTGTACTTACTTATCAGTATCCCAACACAAACACACTCTTCAAGTCACCAGAGATCAATGAGTAAGTTTAGAGTAATTTAAAATTCAATGCCACAATCCTCCACACACACAATCATCAAATATTAACTCCTTCTGTTTTCATCCTCCAGAATTGACTGAAACATTAGTTTACTACTCCGGAGATACTTTTATGGTTATTACATAGTCTTGTTATTTTTATTTCTAGAATACAAAGAAATATCTAGAGCAAATCCCATTCACAAATTAAAAACCGACCAACTTCAACGTGAATTACCTCTCTCTAGAAACATAAATACAAAGCATAAATATGTTAACCTTGTAAACACAGACATGCTGAGGAACACATATGTGACATGCTGAGGAAAATACCTTATATGCACACGGATCTAATTCTAACTCGGCATCTTTATAATAACAGAGGAAATTTTGCAGGTGCCAATTGCATGCATTCCCACCCTGCTACGGTCTCAGTGCTGTCAAGAGTCACACAGAGAATCAGACTACAAGGCTCTTTGTAGCCTTGTAGAGAGCTTGAGATCTCTGCAGAGAACACAGAATGCGGCTTTGCTTGCAAGGGCCGCACAGCCCCTGCGGGGAAAGCAGGGAAAGGCTGGGGGGATCTTGTTTACTCAATTCACAGGATCCTCTACCTAGCCTCTTCTCTCCTTAGCGCTGGGCTGTGGGCCCAGCTCCGGGAGCTGTCCGGGGTGCTGAATTCCACTCACCGGACAGAGCTGCGGCGCCCAGGAGGCCGAGGAGCACGGCGGTCTGCATGGCCCCGCTCGCAGCTGCGTGCCTGGAGGAACACAGCGGGTGCCGGCTCCGCAGAGCAGCTGTGGCGCGGTGGACGCAGGTCTGGCTCTTATGAAGGGCAGGCGGGGTGCAGCGCCCGGGGGCGAGCAGCTAGCGGGGGCGCCCCTTGCTCAACCCTGACGTCACGGAGCAGCCCTGGGGCGGTGCCAGCGAGCGGAATCTCAGCCAGTGAGCGTGGCTCTGCGCTGGGTCCAGCAGTAACAGGCAGGGATGCTAAGAGGCCAGGTGCTGTCCTTCCCAGGAGAGGAGGGGCAAGGGTTCTGCTTAGATTGCAGGCGCCTGCGCTCCAGCTCCCCCGAAAATACCTCAGACCCTGCAGACGCGAGTTTGAGGCGCTGGATACATGTGATTCTGATGTGTGTAAACGATGAGGTCAGCTTTGTGTCTCCTCTGCCCAGCTGAGGAAGATCCTTGCTTGGAACACACAGGCATTAGACCTTTAAAAGAAGAGCGATGGCTACAAACCTAAAGTGTGCAGCCTGGAATCTATAACTTGCTCTTGTTTCAGATGTTAGGTCAGTGTATCTGTCTTCCTATCTGTGGCTCTGTCTGTCTTCCATTTGTGGACGCCTCCCACCCCACATATATAGCTTATTCAAATGAGCTTCTTTTAAAGAAAAAAAATCAGATGGGCCAAAAGGATGCACTGCAAAATTGTCTCGCTCTTTTAACCGCAGTTTCCTAGTTCAGTTCCCGCTGTAAGCACTTTCTGTGGATTAGGCCTAATTTAGTTTAGAGCATATGTAACTGTCACTATATCTCTCCCTCTCCCGTCCCCTATCCCTCCCCCCCCCCGCCCCTTCTCTCTCTTGTTGCACTGAATGGGTATGTTGGTATTTAACCAGCTCTTCCTGATAGATTGATAGACATTTATTTATGTTGTTATCTTTTTCTTTCTTTCTTTCTTTCTTTCTTTCTTTCTTTCTTTCTTTCTTTCTTTCTTGCCTTTAGTTATTCCTTTATAACATGGGCATAGCTGCAGGGCAGGGTAGGAACTAGTGTATCCTTGAAAACCTATTCATCTTTGCTTGCTTTTAAATTGAGATAGAAATGCCTTTTTAATTATGTGTGCAAAGGAGATGATAACATCTTCCAGATTATTTTTGACATGGATTCTGTTAACCTAATAAGGAATCAGGAAAAAACACAGGCAAGTGTCCTGCCCAGAAGAGATACAATCTGCTCTGATAACAGATTCTGAAGAACTTGAGATCATTTGGTTAGGTGATGAAGTTGTCTACTGACAAAAACCAAAAAGAGATTTCCAGTCCCTTCTCCTGAAAAGTCTCGAATTCTTTTTTGCACACGATGAGTATATAGATAGATACATCTTCCTGGAAGATTATTTTTACCAAAACTGCAGCTACAGAATGTATGTTTTTACTTTTCTTTTTCCTTTTTTTTTTTTTCATTGCTGGGGAGAGCATACGGCCATGGGCATGCAGGCAAGCACTCTACCACTGTTCTATATTATCAACTTCAGAATGTTAGAATTGTCTTGAAAATGATATTTCTGGGACAGCTGGTAAAACTGAAAAGACATAAAGATGACATCACCCTATTGTGTTGTGATGGAGAGGAGAAACTGGAGAAAGCAATATCAGGGTTAGCATGTGAGCGATTTGGCTCAGCAGGTAGAATGCTTGCCATACTCTAACAGGGCCCCAAACCTAAGTAATCCGCCCTCAGATCTTTACATAACTGACTCCATGATGGCAATGCCATTCAGACCATAAAACTCAGTCTGGCCGGGCATTGGTGCCACATGCCTTTAATCCCAGCACTCAGGAGGCAGAGGCAGGCAGATTTCTGTGAGTTCAAGGCCAGCCTGGTCTACAGAGTGAGTTCCAGGACAATACAGAGAAACCCTGTTTCGAAAAACCAAACAATAAAAATAAAAAATACAAAAATAAAACAGTCTGTAGAAAGAATCACCTGCCGAAACTAAAACAAAGGCCTAATCCATCAAAGTCCATAGTTCTGGGAGAGTCTCTAAATGGACTAATCTTGCTTTTTGGCTTCTGCAGCTCTGTTTCTGGCTAGCTGTTCTTGTTAACTGAAGTATGTCAACCCAAAACATGACTTTTGTGCTTAAAAGTTTATCCCAGTGTAGATCTACACTGGAATCCTGAATAGCCTGTGTAGTCTCCAGTTGGCTAATAACAAGTTTCTATTGATTTAAACCCATGTCAGAGCAGTCTTCTCTGGTGACTATCCCATAACAATGCAAGCCTGCTCACTGGAATTCAAACCAACTTAAGGTGAAAGGAAAAAAAACCAATTCCACAAGATTGCCCTTCGACCTCCACTCATGCACCCATCCCCCCACCCCCCACCGTCAGACACACATCACACACACATTTATATGCAACGGAAATAAAATATGGGACTGGAGAGATTGCTCAATGGTTAAGATTACTTGCTGCACTTTCAGAGGACCCAGATTCAATTCCCAGCACTTACATTGTGGCTAACAATCTACTATCTGACTCCTCTTGTAGCCCCCTTGGGAACTGCACAAATGTACACAGACATATATGTGGATAAAACACCCATCCACATAAAAGTAAATAAAATTTTTAGAAAAGTTTAAAAAGAAAGTAAAATGTGAACATGAAAGAAGCCTATTGGCAGAGAAAGACTGGAAACTTTTGCCCACCTAGGCTATGTATTGAAACAGGGTGTGCAGCAAAAGACACAATATGTTTCACTAGAGAGGCCAGTGCTTCATAAATGACCTGCAAAAAGCCACAAGCCTTGTGGCTCAGGACTTTATGACTAGATGTTTTCCCTAGTTCACTATGCCATCCCCATTTTCAGGAGTGACTTTTTACAAAGGTATTTAATTATTTATTTACTGAAACAAGGTCTCACTATGTAGACCAGACTGGCCCCAAACTCACAGATACCCACTTGCTTCTGCCTCCCAAGTTCTAGTTCTGCTTTCAACCATGTATCACTCCTAAGTGGGTCATCCTGTTACGTTCCCCCAACCCGCACCACTGTGACCTGTGCCTGTAACTGTGTTGGTATTTCTTCACTGATTTTGAGACAAGTTCCTTGTATACTAAAAAAAAAGAGTTCTTTGTTTTTAGAAAATGCATATCAAGATTTCAAGTTTCAAATTTTGAGAAAAAAATACAAGGAAAAGAGAAAAAATCATTTTCATATTTTAAAGACTCAAACAGGTCTTGCCCCAAGTTTATTTGCTAAAAACAGCACAGGTTACTGATCCTCTGCAAATAGTGTGTAGGTGTGTCACATCAGTCCATCTGTCTTCACACTGGCAGATAGAAACCTTTTCTAGGGGCCTTCCCAGGGGCCTGGGCACCTTTGGGAGCCTGAACTAGAGCTGAATCCTGGGTCTGAGCTGGAGCTGCAGCTCCTGCCCTGGGTTGACCCTTGGGCTTTGGTTGGCCAAGTTTACAACCATGCAGCTTCTAGTCTGCTTCCCAAATTTGGGATGAACAATGAAAGCAAGATGACTAAGTTTGTGGCTGGGACACTTTGGCATCTTGGACTTAACCACTTTGAGCTTCACAAGGGCCTTAATGGCCTTTGCCTGTACACTTATGACCTTCACATTTTTTGCCTGCATCTTCTTCCGGACTTCCTTTTTGTGCTTCTTGGCAAGGCACATGCTCCTCAGGAACTTGGGGTCGACACCTTTAAGAGATTCGTATCTTTGGGGTTTCTTGGTGCCATTTCTGTGCCAATTTCAGGATTGATAGTGTGTGTGTGGTTCTTGGAGCTGGCCATGTCTGAACAATAACCCATAGCTCCCAAAGCACCTTGGACCAGAAGAGAAAGAAATGGATTTTATTTTTTAAATCGTGTAGCCCTGACTAGCCTGAGATTCACTATGTAAACCAGGGTAACCTAAAACTCAGAGATACTACTACTCTGCCTCCTGAATGCTGATATAAAAAAATGGGCCCCACTATGCCTGGCTAAGTAAAGAAAAAATGGGCAATTATGTATACTATAATAGCATACTATTTTTTGCAGTTTTATGAAACCTGAAATTCCATCAAAACATACAAAGATGAATGTTTGTGGTTCAAAAGAATTTTCTTTAAAGCTCTGTAAAGAAGTGGATAACAGAAATAGGAGATGTGCTTGGTGTGGTAGCTCCCTATATGTATGAGGCTAGACTGGACTGCCTAGTGAATTCCAGGCTAGCCTAGGCTGGAAAGAAAACAGTGAAGGAGGGAGGGAAGGGTACAGTCTATTAGAGGTTCTCTATGGTTGACATTGCACAAGGGTTAATACTACTCTTTAAAATGTAGCAAGTACCTGTAGTTATTTTAAATTGCTATGTCCTTGAAGTATTCACACTCTGGTTTTCTAATACTTTCCTTCTCTTCTTTTTCCCTAGAAAACCATGGTTAAACAATGTTAAAATCATCTTTTGAGGGGGGAGCTCTTGAATCCCAAACTGATGCCTGAGAGGCCAACAGGGGACTGATCCAGACTCCATGAATGTGGTCTCAGTGAGGAGGCCACAGAAATCACTGGGGCCTTGGGTAGTAGATCAGTGTTTACCATGGTTTATGAATGATCTTTGGGAGCCCATTCCAAATAGAGGGATGCTCTCTCAGCCTGGACACATGGAGAAGGGCCTAGGTCCTGCCCTGGATGAAACAACAGACTTTAGAGATCCCCCCAAGGAGGGTCTCACCCTCCCTGGGGAATGATGTGGGGATTGGGTGGGGGCTGGGGGAGCTAGTGGAGGGACAAGGGAGGAGGGGTGGGAGAGGGAGCTGGGATTGACATGTGAAGCATTCGTGTTTCTAATTTAAAGAAAAAAACGAAAAATCCAAAAAAAAAAATCATCTTTTGGCTTCTCAAATTGGGCTTCAGCTAAGTGTTTTTGCTCATTAAGACAACCTTGCTGAAGGAAAGCTATTTTCATCATTGTCAGTCAGTTGGGTGCAAGGGAGGAGCCCTGGCCAACAGTCAGTTTCTACATTCACTTTTAGATTTCTCTGTACTGGAGTGAAGGATGCTGGGAATAGACTGACAGCGTGGTATTTTGTCTCAGAGGAAAGTGAGGAGGAACACTAAAGGAATCGGGGCTTAGACTCTGAGGCAGGGATACAGTCACAGGGTTTTTTTTGTTTTGTTTTGTTTTGTTTTTTTGGTTTTTCGAGACAGGGTTTCTCTGTATTGTTTTGGAGGCTGTCCTGGAACTCACTCTGTAGACCAGGCTGGCCTCGAACTCACAGAGATCTGCCTGCCTCTGCCTCCCAAGTGCTGGGATTAAAGGCATGTGCCACCAACGCCCGGCCAGTCACAGTTTTTAATATCGTGGTCTAGCTATCCTGGGAATCCTGTTTTGAGGTGGACATTCATAACTCCCCTATAATTTCACCTTGAAAAAGATCAGAGTCTGTGTGTGGACGTGTTTCTACAGACTGCTGAGCACGGGTGTGCTCCATTTCAGTCTGTCTACTCACTGACTTGGTACTCACTTTCTCCATGTTGCATCATTTTAATGAGCCTTGTTTTCTGATGGCAAAGGCCATTCTCATTTTTCACTTGGAAATCCTGCTTGAATTTTAGCAGAAATGATACCAAACCCAAATACCAATATAAGCACAGCTGGCATCTTGACAATATTGGACAGACTTAGCTTTTTTGTTGTTTTGTTTTTCGAGACAGGGTTTCACTGGTTAACAGCCCTGGCTGTCCTGGACTTTGTTCTGCAGGCCAGGCTGGCCTCTAACTCACAGAGATCCCCTGCTTCTGCCTCCTGAATGCTGGGATTAAACGTGTGCTTCACCATGCCTGGTAAGACTTAGCTCCCCCCCCCACATACTTTTTAAAAAATTTAAATTAGAAACAAGCTTGTTTTATGTGTCAGTCCCAGTTTCCTCTCCCTCCCCTCCTTCCTACCAACTCCCTATCCCATCCCTTTTGGCTCCCCAGGGAGGGTCAGGGCCTTCCATGGGGGAATCTTCAAAGTCTGTCATATCATTTGGAGCAGTGCCTAGGTCCTCCCCCTGTGTCTAGCCAAGAGAGTATCCCTCTGTGTGGAATGGACTCCCAAAGTCCATTTGTATACTAGGGATAAATACTAATCCACTACCAGAGGTCCCATAGATTTCCCAGGCCTCGTAACTGACCCTCATTTAGGGGCTCTGGGTCGGTCCTATGCTGGTTTCCCAGCTATCAGTCTGGGGTCCATGAGCTTCCCCTTGTTCAGGTCAGCTGTTTCTGTGGGTTTCTCCAGCCTGGTCTTGAACTCTTTGCTCATCGCTCCTCCCTCTCTGCAACTGGATTCCAGGAGTTCAGCTCAGTGTTTGGCTGTGGGTGTCTGCTTCTGCTTCCATCAGTTACTGGATGAAGGCTGTAGGATAGCATCAGTAGTCATCAGTATCATTATTGGGGAAGGACATTTAAGGTAGCCTCTCCATTACTGCTTAGATTGTTAGTTGGGGTCATCCTTGTAGATCTCTGGAAATTTCCCTAGTGCCAGATTTCTTTTTAAGCCTATAATGGCTTCCTCTGTTGCGGTATCTCTTTTCTTGCTCTCCTCTATTCTTCCTCTGACTCAATCTTCCTGCTCCCTCATGTCCTCCTCTTCTCCTTCTCTTTCTCCTAGCTCCATCTCCCCTCTTGCCATGTTCCCAATTTGCTCAGGAGATCTTGTCCCTTTCCCCTTCTCTGGGGGACCATGTATGTCTCACTTAGGGTCCTCCTTGTTTCCTAGCTTCTCTGGAGATGTGGACTGCAGGCTGGTAATCCTTTGTTCTATGTCTAAAATCCATATATGAGTGAGTACATACCATGTTTGTCTTTTTGTGACTGGGTTACCTCACTCAGGATGGTTTCTCCTAGTTCCATCCATTGGCCTGTGAATTTCAAGATTCCATTGTTTTTTTCCCCTCTGAGTAGTACTCCATTGTGTAAATGTAACACATTTTCTTCATCCATTCTTCAGTTGAGGGGCATCTAGGTTGCTTAAAGGTTCTGGCTATTACAAGTAATGCTGCTATGAACATAGTTGAACAGATGCCCTTGTTGTATGAATGAGCATCTTTTGGGTATATGCCTAAGAGTGGAATTGCTGGATCTTGTGGTAGACTGATTCCCATTTTCCTGAGAAACTGCCATACTGATTTCCAAAGTGGCTGTACCAAGTTTGCACTCCCACCAGCAGTGGAGGAAATGTTCCCCTTTCTCTACATCCTCTCCAGCATAAACTGTCATTGGTATTTTTGATTTTAGCCATTCTGACAGGAGTAAGATGGCATCTTGGAGTTGTTTTGATTTGCATTTCCATTGATGGTTAAGGATGTTGAGTACTTTCTTAAGTGTCTTTCAACCATTTTGGATTCATCTATTGAGAATTCTCTATTTAGTTCTGTACCCCACTTTTTAATTGAATTATTTGGTGACTAGCCTCTTGAGTTCTTTGTATATTTTGGAAATCAGCCTTCTGTCAGATATGGGATTGGTGAATATCTTTTCCCATTTTGTGGGTTTCCATTTTGTCTTGTTAACTGTCATTTGCCTTACAGAAGCTTCTCAGTTTCAGAAGGTCCCATTTATTAATTGTCTATCTCAGTGTCTGTGTTACTAGTGTTGTGTTCAGGAAGCTGTCTCCTGTACCAATTTGTTCAAGGGTACCTCCCACTTTCTCTTCTAAGAGGTTCAGTGTGGCTGGATTTATGTTGAGGACTTTGATCCATTTGGACTTAAGTTTTGTGCATGGCGATAAATATGGATCTATCTGTAGTCTTCCACATCCAGTTATGCCAGCACCATTTGTTGAAGATGCTTTCTTCTTTCCATTGTATAATTGTAACGTCTTTGCCAAAAATCAGGTGTTTTAGGTGTGTAGGTTAATATTAGGGTTTTCTATTCATTTCCATTGGTCTACCTGTCTATTTTTCTGTCAATACCAAGTTGTTTTCAGTACTATAGCTCTATAATAGAGCTTGAAGTCAGGGATGGTGATGCCTCTGGAAGTTCCTTTATTGTACAGGGTTGTTTTGACTATCCTGGAAGGCTTAGCTTTTTGATTGCTGATAATATGCTGGATATAGTATCTCAGATAGCATAACAGAATACCAGGAAAAGAAGCCATTGGAAACACTCTTTCCCAGGAATTCTTTCAAAGAACTGAGGAGAAATAAACACAGCTCCCGGGTTCAATATTTAAGAAGGGCGTGGTCTTGTACATGGATTCTGAAATGACTAGCCTTGAAAATGAAGCCAACAGCAGGAATTCAGTACTGAAAAGAATACACAGGGACTAGAAATATTGAGAGAGCAGGTAAGGAAATTAAGAAAAGGCAGAGGTTAGTAACTGCAGGTAGCTGTTACCTCCCCAGGGATGAAAGGATATATCTACCCTGCAGCCCAGAAACAGAGACCACTTAAGAAGGTAGATCTTGGGTCCTGGGAAAGGCTGCTGGGCAGCAGCTGGAAACAAAAGAAGCTGCTGCCTCCAGAGATGTAATGTTTTCTTTCCAATGAGGGGGAGGGGAAAATACTCGGCTTTTCTTTTTAATTTTCAAAGCTAGTGCCTCTTAGCAACTGAAGCTATCTGGAAACAGCAGGGCAAACCAGGAAAATCATTTACAAGGGCCAGTCTTCACAGATCAGATCAGAGAGAAAATTGGAACGCAAACAGACAAACATATGGCAAATAGATCAAACCACCTTGGAATCTGGGCTCTACCTTTGGATTTTCGTTTCCCAATTCTCTAATTCAATTCATTTGTTTATGTGGTTTGCTGACACACATCAAGCACTGTGGCTTGGAAAATCCTGAGGTGAATCTCAGTGTTAGTGGCACAAGGTTGGTGATTAAAGGTGAGAGCATGGCCTGGGAGATGGTGCATCCATGGAAACTGTTGCCTTGCAGGTACATGCCCACAGAATTCTCTGTGTTGGTGGTCTCCAGGATAGACATTTATCTCTGTGACTTTGATCTCACCAAACCCCCAAGAGCCTCATGTCAACAAGTAAATTTCCCTGGGTAAGTCTGATTTTGGAATACTTGTTATCCAGTCTCTTTGTCGGGTAAGTTTTTTTTTTTTATGTATTTCGAAATAATTAAGAAGTGGCAAGCCTATTTCCAGTCTCAAGAAAGAAATGTTTTGCTGTTTTGTAACCCACCAAATGGTGGATAATGTAACACCATGCAACTTTCATGCAGATAAATATTAATAAGATGAATGTTTCTCAAGAAAAGTCAGGAGGTAAAGCCATATCACTGTGTGACACAGTAGGGAGTGTTCTGCGGTTGAGGCTCACCTATGATAATGTATGTCATATGATTCGAGTATTCTTCAATGCACTTGAGAGGAAGCAAGACACTGACAAAAGATGGGGGTGGAGTGGGGGGGGGTGAGACAGTCCAATGGGTAAAGCACCTGGCCACCAATCCCGGCAGCCTGCATTCAGTCTCCACAAACCGCTTGGTGGAAGGAGACAACAGTTGTCCTCTAATGTGTATGATGTCCCTGTTCCAGCTGCCAAATAAATAAATAAATGGTGGAGGAGAAGGGGGTAGGGAGGAGGGACAGAAGGGGGTGGAAGATTAACTAATGCTTTGAGTTTGGTAAGTTTGGGGAGACCTTCGTGCTTTTGACAAATTGCCACTTGATGTTACTAACCATGCCGTTTGTAACAGCAGTAAGTATCTGGAATTAAGGGTGTTTATGACCTTTGTGTATCCCTCCCATTAATACACATTCACTAGGTAAAGTGACTTGGTTTACAAAGCACTTTCACATGTGTTACAACAAGGTTTTTAAATGAACGTTATAGGACCAAATGCTTAATTCTGTAATTCTCCCTTTAGAGATGTGGAAAATGAGACTAAAATAAAAGATATAAAAGACCCACAGTTGTGCAATAGCAAAAGTCAGGGCTGAGATTTCTTTTTCTTTGTAAAATTAACTAAAATTTCTTTCTTCCAAAAATTTTAACATTTTAACTGAGTTAACTGGTGCAGTCCACAAACCTCACGTGCATGGGTCATTAAAGATTAACACATGTACCCATATAGTTACCACCTAGATCCAGAACAATCTGGAACCCAGAAAGCTCCCCCATCTGTTGGGGAAGTCCTGTGTATAAGTCAATAAAGCACTGTTGGCCAATAGGGAAGCAAGATAGGTGGGACTAGGAATCCAGGAGGACTCTGGGTAGGAGAAACACAGGGAGTCAAGATGTAGCTGCCATAGGGATAAGAAGTCTGGAAACTTTGCTCCAGTAAGAGAAATACTTAGATTAACAATTATGGGGTAAATACTTAAGTCAGAGCTAGCCAGTAAGAAAAAGCAAGGCCAACAGCTTCATAATTAATACAGCGTCTTGTGTGTTATTTGGGGACTACAACACAGCAGAGCCCAGGCAACTGGCGGGTGATAAACCAAAGCAGCTGGCAAGGAAAAGCCTCCCTTTATACCCATCTCTTTCACTCAACACTCCCAACAAACAAAACCCCACCTCCAATATCCAACACCACCGATTACTTTAGTTTGTTTTAAATTTTGTATAAATGGCACTATACAGCACTTTTGTGTCTGAAAATTAGCAGTCCATGTTGTATCATTGAGATCTGCCATGTTTCTATAGGTAGCAATGTTCATACGTTTTAATGCTGTGTAATTCCATAACATGGTGTGGAACAATTTGTACATTCTGCTGTTGGTGAGTGTTTAGGTTGGATTATTCCCAGTTTAGGAATACTATGAATAAATATGGTATGAACACTTGAGTGTGAATTTGTCCCATCAGCTCCTGTAGACACTACTAGCTTTCTGAAATGAGTATACCAGGGACTGATATGTCAGTGGGTGTGTGTGAACATCACATAATACAAACTCTGTAGAGCTGGCAGAATTGCCATCTTAGTTCCAGGACACATCGAGGCCACATCACATGTCACTTACTTCCCATATCTTTGTAAAGCTTGTGCCCAAAGACAAAGGCTGTCCTTTCTTACTCAGTGGTAATTCCCAGAGACAAGAGGAATTAACCTCACTGGGTGGACACTTTCTCCATTCAGACCACACTTACTTTTCCTCATTTTTGTGTCCCCCTCAGGTCATTTTGGCCACATGAAAGGACACCCATTTTCTTTGACTTCAAGCTTCAGAAGAGAGCAGACAGAGACTGTACACATCTGTCCTATGTGGAAATTTGGTTTATAATAGTCTGTTGGGTGGCTCAGAGTTAATGAGAGGCCGGCTACATTGTCTAACGATCAAGAAGGGACAGTGGGAAGAACCTGATAGTTTGGGGGTCTCCTTTTTTTCCTTATGGCTGCTGAATTCTATAGCCAGTCTCTGCTCTCATCGCAAGGAGCCATTAAATGAAAGTTGGTTCTGCCTCGTGAGTTTGAGATTTGATGGCTTTGCTCTGTGAGGCAGCTGCTTCTTGCTGATGCTGGAATTAGTTATTTATGGGGACTGCAGAGCACGGCAACCCCAGGCAGCTAACAAAACTGCATTCTGTAGGTGAAATGTTCAGGGAAAACTACATGGGAGACTTTCGGTTTTATATACCTATGAATATTTTATTTCCCAATAATTCATAATGGCCCTTGAGGAACCATTATTGTTAAATAAATGTGCATAATCTAAGTGCTCTCATGATATAATTGCCCATGTTTTTGTTTTGGGTGATAAATATGCAAATTTAATTTTTGCTGAAGGATCACTCCCACACACACACCTCACCTCTATCCCCACCTGCCTTTCACTTCTTTAACCTTCTCTCATATAGGTAAAAAAGAAAAGGAAAAAACACATTTTATATTTTCACATAAACATGATACTATCTAAAATGGTATCACCAATGCATATGCTCATCTCAACATAATCTACCTTGACTTTTAGAAGACATATTTTCTTATGAGGCATAAAAAATGCTAGAACATTTACTGAGCTTGGTATTCCCTTTCTCCATTCCAGGAGCACAGTGAAGGTAAACTTTACAGAATCACAGGACAAAGAATCTTTGGCAGATATGAAGGGTTGAGTGGTACCTCAGCTCTAGAAGTAAGCAGCAATATCAAGGTTTATCAGACTAAGTCTATTCCAACACGCACCAACCTCTAGCCCAGAGGCAGAAAGGAGAGTAAACACTTGTCCTAGGTGCTTTTTATATCAAGTTGACACAAGCCACAGTTCTCTGAGAGGAGGGAACTTCAACTGAGAAAATACCTCAATAAATCTGGGTTGTGGACAAGCCTGTAGGATATTTTCTTAATTAGTGATCGATATGGGAGGCCTGAGCCCACTGTGGGTGGTGCCATCCCTGAGTTGGTGGCCCTGGCTCCTATAAGAAAGCAATCTAAGGAAGCCGTGGGGAGCAAGCCAGTAAGCAGCACTCCCCCTTGGCTTCTGAGTCAGCTCCTGCCTCCAAGTTCCTACCATGCTTGGGTTCCTGTCCTGACTTCCTTTGATGATGAGCAGTGATATGGAAGCATAAGCCAAATAAACCCTTTCCTTCCCAAGTTGCTTTCATCAACAGTGATTCTAACTAAGATATCACCATACTCGATTTCAGCCCAAGGAGAGACTGAAGATCAAAGAAACATGAAGATGAGAACTGTCTGTGGGGAAAAGGTCATTGATAAAGGGCCCCTGAGTCCCTCATTTCTTAGACTTCATGAAACATAGCATCAGCAATCTTCAAAAATTTGACCAGTGGCTTGCTTGAAATTCACTATTTGACCATAATACATTGGAAAGTGTTGTTCCTGTGGGAATACGTAAGAAGCAGGGCCAAACCTGAGTGTATGCCTTCAGCTTGAGGTGAACCACACAGTACCATTTTTGGATTTTGCATCTTCTTGCTTTGAAGGCTCAGAACAGTTGCTGAAATGCTGAGTTCACTGCTCACAACTCCTAATTTTCATACCTGTTTTGCATTTCTCCTGGTTCTTTACAGTGAAAGTAAGAAACCAAGATCATTTAGGGGGATGATAAGAAGTAACTTGAGACCATCCTGCTTCTTTGTTATCTTGGACTGTCACTTGGCTGCTTTTTCAGTTCTTATCTATCTTCCAGGCACTTAAAGGCTCAGCTGTGCCCGAGTTTCAGAACCCTCCTACAGTCTCCATTAGAAGAGATGCAGAGAATTCAGCATCAGGACCACATTTGTCCAGTCTGGAATCTGGGTCCTGATGACTCATTTTAGTTATGACTCATCTCCCCAGTCACTTCTGCTGTCATCTAAGACTCCATAGTGTGTGGGTTAGAGGTTGGGAATCTCAGATCAAATCCCACTTAGGTCACTTAACTAAGGTGTGTGATTGTGGATTGGTAGCTTCATTCTGTGGGACTTTAACTTCCTTATCTCTGTGAGGAGGGTAATAATGACAGCCTCAGAAGCCAGGATGAGGGAACAAATGAACTAGTTTTTATAAACCCCTACTGTGCTGGGCATGTGGGAACACTCAAGACACGGAGGCTGCCATGGAGACTTAAATATCATATTTTGAGATATAGTTCCATACAATAAATCTCAGCCTTTTAAAGTCCAAAGTTCAATAGGTTTTGAAATTATACTTGGAGAGTTGTGCCACACCACCATAAATCACTAGCATTCTATGTAATAAATGACTTCCTCAGCGGTCTTCCTGCTTCTGCCCTTGTCTCCTCACAGTCCATTCTCCACATGGCATGCAGAGTGAACTAAAATAAAACAATTGATCATTTTCCTCCAAGACAGGGAAACAAAACAACCCAACAACCTCAAAATAGCTTTAGGAAGTCCCTAAAGCTAACAAGATTCACTAGGCCCTGCCCTCTCCAAATAGACGTAAGTTGCAAAGGCTGCTGAGAGATACTCTCAGGCAAACTGGATTGACTAGAAGAGGCTTAGACCAACTAAACTACATAGAAAGGACACACTTCAACTTGTCAAACTGCCTGCAGGCTGTGAAGTGCTCTCCCAGTTTCCAGCTTTTGTGAGTTGTCACTCATGCTGGCATTGGCTTTGTTATACAGCTGCCTTTAG